TGAAATAGATTCTTCTCCCCAACAGAGAAGTAGTAGATGAGTGGTTCCAGGAGGAGTCAAGCCACACTGAGCACAAGATAGTAAAATCCCAGCCCACTGCTTTATTTTCACTCTTTCTTAATAAGAAAGAAAGAGACAGAGGGGAATAGTCTTTGGGAGAAAGTTAGGATAAAACCAGACACCAAACCACAGGTCTGTGTTATATATGTCTGTTGTAAATCCTTGTGGTAAATAGTTTTGCTGTAAATTTAAAAAGCATAAAAGCCCCCACTGTCTTGTTTTCTATGTTAATTGCCACCCTTGCAAAGCAACATACATTCAAAAATTATCCCATCAAACTGAGATAAGGAGGTTATTTAGACTTGGTTTTCCCCTTCATTTTAACTTGTTTTAAAAATTGTATTGTGTTTTTATTATAGTTCGCTGCCCGGAATTTCATTGGTTAGGTAGGTAATGATATATATATATTTAATCAGGCAATTAAATAAATTAAACTTTACATATTCATGTTTCCAACTGCAGGAATGATGGTCTGCCCTGTGATGTGTTGATGATATGACCTCTGCTTTCTACAACACCTGTCTCAGCCCCTCTAGCTTCTTACTCATGGGCATTCCTCAACTGGAAGCAGTCCATGCATGGCTGTCCATCCCCTTTGGCTCCATGTACATTATGGCAGTGCTAGGGAACTGCACCATCTTCTTCATCATCAAGGCAGAGCCCAGCCTCCACCAGCCCATGTATCTCTTCCTTTCCATGCTGGCTGTCACTGACTTAGTGCTCTCCTCCTCTGCTCTGCCCAAGCTGCTAGCCATCTTCTGGTTCAACAGCAAAGAGATTGGCTTCCACTCATGCCTCCTGCAGATGTTCACCATTCATTCTTTTGCCACTGTTGAATCAGGCATTTTTCTGGCTATGGCTTATGACCGTTATGTGGCAATATGTAGCCCACTGAGACATAAGGCCATTTTAACCCATTCAACTGTTGTTAAGATTGGGGTGGCAGCTGTCCTGAGAGGCTTCCTCTATATCTCACCTCTCCCTTTGCTTGTGAGGAGACTGACTCATTATCATACCAACATCATCGCACACTCTTATTGTGAGCACATGGCTGTGGTGATGCTTTCCTGTGATGACACCTCCATCAGCAACATCTATGGCATGGCAATTGGCTTTCTGGTCCTCATCATTGATTCCCTGGGCATTGGTCTGTCTTATGTGTTGATCCTCCGGGCAGTGATGAATTTAGACACAGCAGAGGCCCGGCTCAAATCTTTTAGCACTTGTAGCTCTCACATTTGTGCCATCTTAGCTTTCTACATCCCCATAGCCGTCTCCTCCCTGACCCACAGGTTTGGCCATCAGGTGTCTCCTCCGACTCATATTCTTCTGGCCAACTTCTACCTCATCTTTCCCCCTGTCTTAAATCCCATTGTTTATACTGTCCGGTCTCAAGTAATGCAGAGGAAGTTAGTCAAGATGCTATCCTGGACCCAGAGGCTAATCAGAGGCCGTTTGTGAGCTTTTTAGAAAGGTATTTTTTTTTATCTGAATCACTTTGTCTATGAATTTGCTTGATCAACAGTTAGCTAAAAACCTTCTCTGATACTTACCTGAAGAAGCTAAAGAGGCTGACCATAAACACTTCAGTTAAAGGAAGTGTTAGTCTAACTAGCCAACTGTGGCTTTATTACAATGCTGAACAATTTTGCAAAGGGCCCATTACCTGGAACAAGGAAAGGGAACTGGACATTTAGCTTAAGCTGTGGCCAAGAGTATCCAAGCAAAGATCCAGAGGTAAAGAACTCATTATTAGCATGCTAAAAAGCATAGCCAGGGGTGGAGAGCTTACTAATTAAATGCACACACACACTCCTATGCGTATTATGAGATGTTAGCCTAAATTGCACATGTCTTTAGTAAATTAGGAAGAAGTGAAGAAATATCAGAAAATTCTGATGTGTATATACTGTAGCAATAGAGATTGGACAACCATTTGTCTGAAATGGTATAAAGTTTCCTGCCTAAGCAAGGGGTTGGACTAGAAGACCTCCAAGGTCCCTTCCAACTCTTGTTATTCTATTCTGTTCTGGTCCCTTCCAACTCTTGTTATTCTATTCTATTCTATTCTATTCTATTCTATTCTATTCTATTCTATTCTATTCTATTCTATTCTATTCTATTCTATTCATAGCACTTAGACTTATATACCGCTTCACAGTGCTTTACAGCTCTCTCTAAACGGTTTACAGAGACAGCACATTGCCCCCAACAATCTGGGTCCTCATTTTACCGACCTCGGAAGGATGGAAGGCTGAGCCGGTGAGATTTGAACTGCCGAACTGCTGGCAGTCAGCACTCAGTAGTATTAGCCTGCAATACTACGTTCTAACTACTGTGCCACCACGGTGGTTTTAATGCTATATGTGGTTTTAATGCTATAAAACAGACTGATGAATACCAGCAGGCATATTTGATTTGGACTTGAGTTCCAAATGTACTTATCTGTAATTCTGTACAGAAATAAAGTGTTGAACCTCGGTTTCCTATCTCAGCATGATTATTGGCTCAAATTATGCCAGATAAAAGGAACCCAGTTTTGGACTGGGCCAATACACACAAGATGATTTCCTTGATTAGTCAGTAAAGCAGGTGCCTGGAGTAGCTTTAAGCCTTTTGAAGAAGCAAGTTGCACTACAAAACCTGATGCTATTTTTAAAATCGATTAGTTGAAAACCTAGCTCCTTTGAGTTTCTTATTTCCAAGGTCATAGTGAGGTTCACGTTGGTGCATTGTGGAATTGCAATGCTGGAACTTAGCAATTCCAATACCATCATTCTGTTCAGGAAGGGCTTTGCCTTAGTGTGCTGGGAGTTGTAGTCCCATATGGCACCAGACTGTCTTTGGATCATGAATGCAAAAGACAAAACCGGATTGATGTGAGGCTTCAGAAATTGGCCTGTTTTGGATCTCCCATAAAATTCAAAACCACTTAAATCCTTTTGAGGTGGGGCTCAGGGCCAAGTGAGTGGGACTACCACACAGATGGGGAAAGTTGGTTATTTTAGGGTAAAAGTTTGACATTTAGCTTTGGTAATTGAATTGTGGTGTGCCAGGTTTAGGTATGCTACTCAATTTCCATAGAGCTCCTCTCTCAGGGTGGCAAAAGATCTCGGTAATTCTGATCCCCCAGTCCCAAATGCAATGGGTTTTGCAAGCAATGGATCAAATTTCTACAGTGATTGATAGCAACTGTGTAACAATGCCATCATGCAAAGGTCAAGAGAATGATGCCAATGACATTAAATCACGTCTGTCTGAGAAAATGGCATGGCTGAATAAATGGATTCTCCTTCCCCTCACCACCCATCCCCAGAAATGTGCTCAGTGGAGATTTCATTGTTCAATTTTTAGCAATTGCAGAGTTGTCCGCAGATGGTCAAATGAGTCAGAATGATGGGTGCAACCATGCAGTGGAAATCCTGCCTCTTTTTTAATGTCCATTGCATGTAAAACAGTTGGGACTTCAATTATGGGCACACTAGCAAGGGGCAGGCAAAGAAACCTCCTTTCCTGTTTTTGTCCCCACTGCATCTGCCTCTGAGCCTGGAGCCACTAACGGATGTTTGCTCCGACCCCAGGATCTGTAGCCATGGGTTGTCTCTTTGACAACCATAATGTTCCTGCTTTCCCTCAGGATGGACGCTGTGCTGCCCAGCTGCTGGGCTTGCATTGGGTCCTCCTGCAGCAAGGGGGTGCTCTCCTGTAGCCCTCTGTCACCCTCCCTAAGCATTGGGAGGCATAGAAGGAGAAGTGGCAGGAAGGAAGCCCAGCAGGAGGGAGATCTTTATTTTTGGATCACACAGTCTAGCAGTGTTCCAAGTGATGAACACCAAACTTGTCCCAGCTGCTTCCAGTCCTGGAGCCTCAAAGAGTTCATTAGAAACAAGAATGTTCAGAGTGTTTAACAGCTGCTGCCATCTTGTCTATCCCTTATCTTTTGTGTCTTCCTGCAAGGAAGTGAATCCATAGTCAGCCTAACCAAGACTGGTCAAAGACAGGAGTGTATGGAACCAAATGGTAATAACCAGATCAATGCTTCAACAGAGCCTCTGCACTTGATTCAGTAATTGTCCTGACTTTCCCTTCCTCGGCTTGTAACAGGCACCCTTCAATTATATTGTAGCAGTAACACTCCAGGTTCTCAGCTGACATGGGCAAATTAACCAGATGGCACCACCTTGGGAAAGACTAACCCAGACAAGGTGTCCTATTAGCATTAACAGAGACTGAGGCAATACCAATTATTTTAGATTTTATTTTTTATCCTGCCTTTTTATATATATATACAACTCAAAGCGATGAACATACAATACACTGCCCTTTCCCTATGTTTCCCATAACACCACCTCCCTTTCCCTATGTTTCCCATAACAACCCTGGGAGTGGGTTGAACTGAAGGAGAGTTACTGGCCCAAAGTCATCCGTCCAGTTTTCATGCCAAGGCAAGACTAGAACTCACTGTCTCCTGGTTTCTAGGCAGCATTTTCACCAATACGCCAAACTGGCTCTTAATTTTTAATTTAATTTTGCATAATCATTCAGTGAAACAGAGATAATGCAATTTTACAGCTCAGCCCATTCTACACTAGTACACCATCAACACTTGTCCTTTAGGCAGCTTAATTGTTTGCAAATCTTTGATAGAAGGATCTTTTGAGTCCAGCTGCATTGTTGCATCCTCCAGGTTTGTTGAAAGATTTAGTAGCTGAATGTAAAAGCTTTCTGTTAGATCTGAAGTTTCAAAGTTTTCTGAGGACAAGAAAGATCTGAAAGGCAGGTGATTGAAGAGAAAGACCAGTAAATATGCTGAGTTGTAAGCCAAACTTGGAGTTTCTCTAAGGTATTCTTCAGCAAATGACATGAATATTAAAATTTAAACATGAACATCTAACACCTGCAAAATGTCCTTCTCACCTCTTGATTTCTAACAATTGGAATCAAGACTCAAATCGTGTTGCAAAGAATGGCTTTAGCATTTGCTGGCGGAGTTGCTTGGTTTTCATGCCATAGATAATGGGATTCAGCATGGGGGGCACCAGAATATATATATCAGCCAACAAGATATGGATATGTGCAGGAATATTGTGTCCCCAGCGCTGAGTGTAAAAGGAGAAAAGGGCAGGCGTGTAGAAGATCAGGATGACACAGATGTGGGAGCCACAAGTGCTAAAGGATTTCTGCCGGGCTTCTTTAGAGGAAAGTCCCTGGACTGTTCTGAGAATGAGCACATAGGAGATAGCAATGAAGATTGAATCTGAGCCCACCACCAAGGTGGCTGCTGTGATCCCATATATATTGTTGGGTGTTGTATTTCCACAGGCCAGCTTTACCACAGCCATGTGCTCACAGTAAGAATGGGCAATGACATTAGGCCCACAATATGGGAGATGGCTCACCATGCAGGTCAAGGGGGTCATGAACCCAATGCCCCTCATGAAGGCTGCACATCCAATCTTAGCAATGACAGAACTGGTGAGGATGGTAGTGTAACGCAAGGGGGCACAGATCGCTACAAAGCGATCAAAGGCCATGGCGAGCAGCACACCTGACTCCACAGCTGAGAAGCCATGAATGAAGAACATCTGGATCACACAAGCTTTGAAGCCAATTGTATGGGAGTGGAACCAGAAGATACCCAGGATCTTGGGCACAGTGGAGGTGGTCAGTATCAAGTCAAGGACAGCTAACATGCAAAGGAAATAATACATGGGCAAGTGAAGGCTAGGTTCCCTTCTGACCACAAAAAGGATGGTGATGTTCCCCACCAAAGACACCAAATATATGGAGCAGAAGGGGAAGGCAATCCAAAACTGGGCACTTTCTAGGCCTGGAATCCCCATTAGGAAAAAAAAAGAGACACCTCTTGATTGATTGTAACAGGACATGACATCTAACTGGCTTCAGCAACCATTTCACTACCTGCAACAGAGACAAGATGGTCAGAGAAAGTGACACATTAGTGAAATTGCAAAACCTTTGCCGTTGGAGAAGTTCCTTCCAGGGAGTGCCATCAACCCTTTTCTTTCCCAATATTCGCAGTCCTTGAAATTTTTATTTTAAAATTCTTTATGACTTATTATAATTGGGATTGGCTTCTTCATTATACATGTATTCTGGTGGTTTGTTCTGTTGGTTGAATTTTGTCACATAGATTATTAAAATACACAAGATTAAGAAAATTTCAAGGTGCCAAAGCAGCATACTTTTGCTGGGAACATCCAGCTCAGAAAGGGAAGGGCACTCTAATCCTGAAGGAGCTGGCCATGCTGGGACCAGTAGTCTGACCCTAATCCCATGAAGTCTCATATACATGTACAGTACATGCACATACCCACAATACCACATGGAATATTTCTGTAGATAGTTGAGATGATTCCATCACATCCTTAAGAGATTGATGAAAGTCTATCCAGCTTAGAAGCTCCTGTATCCTGATTGATAACAAAAAACCTGGTTACGGCCTTCTCTCAAGATATTGATGCCTTCTAGAAACATAGAAGGAATATACTGTATGCATACAATGGAAAATTGTTGTTTGTTTGTGTGTGTGTGTGTGCACTTGTGTTGTATGGCATAGAAGGAAAAGAAAATAAGCCTGGCACAACTTCTTCAGGACCCTGCAATAGCAAAGATATTTGCACATTGGAGAGAAAGTCAGGGAAGCTGACAGTCCAATGAGTTTAGGGGGACATCATTACTGCAATTCCCTTTCCTTTCCTTTCCTTTCCTTTCCTTTCCTTTCCTTTCCTTTCCTTTCCTTTCCTTTCCTTCCTTCCTTCCTTCCTTCCTTTCAATGTCAGGATGATCAGCACTATAAGAGGAAAGCTGGGTGAGGCTATAGCAGCTCCAACTCAGGAGGAGTCTGGGAGCCCCTTTTCCAACTAACTCATTTTATTAAAAGGTAGAAACTTTCACAAACTGTACCTCACTTCATCAGATATGTGGAGGGACTGAATTAATGTAAGGTTTAAATTGGAATGGGGAAGGGAAGGAGAGGAAGATAAGTAGGTTATGGAGATTTACATTCCATGGGTGATAGTTTACAAAACCCTTATTAATTGTACAGACTACAGTTGTAGTACATTAGGAACTTATCGTATCAGTAGTAACTCTTTCTGAATCTCCAGATAGGTTTAACCAATGTTTCTCAACACTGGCAACATTTAGATGTGTGAATTTCAGTTCCCAAATCCCCTAGCAATTTAAACCCTAAAATCTAGGCAGCCTCCGAGTGAACCCCCATGCACCAAAATGGCATAGTATCAGCAAAAGCTGTTGTTTTGTCAGTACTTTACAAATTCTACTTTAAAAAGCAACTTCAATTATATGTAATTAAATTGGACACGACTAGTGCTACCACCACCCATAAGCCCTGGACAAATCCTAATCCAGCAAGGGGGCTAGGAGGAATGGGACACCTTGGGCTGATCACATCTAGCACAACTTCTGACCAAACTCCTAGTGTGACTGAAGCCACTCAGGCTGATCCCCTCCATCCCCCTACAATTACTCACCATCACCCTTCCAGGCCTTAGCTTTTGCACCCCTCTAGTGCCAGATTCAATTACCACAATGCATTTCTTGCGCAACAAGACTGTCAACTCTATTATCAGACCCACAGCTACAGTACATCATGCTTACCTGGAGCTTGTTCCTGAGTCACAGCCAGGGTTCTGTAGACGTACACATTAAACCTGCCACAAACAGACTGGGAGGAAGAGGGTGCCTTAATAGTGTAGCTCCGATACCTGTGGGATCAGTAATCTCCACGCATTGCAGGAGAGAATACCCTGACTGAAATCAACATGTTTGCTAACTAATGCAGGAAGGAATACATATGCAGAAGGAAACAATAATGCAGAAGGAAATCCAGAAGGCAATACAAATCCCTGTAGGTTGGTATAAAGCAAATTTTGGGAAAACCCAGAGGATGCAATGGATTTGTTGGAAATCTCCTTGAGAAATGTAAATATGGATTCCTTCAGGCTCTTTGCTTCACACTAAACTGCATGCTTTATAGTGTTTATTATAACAACATCATCATTTGTTTGTATGCCTCTTGCCTCCCCTCTCATCTGTTTTATAAGGTCTCTTAGAGTTGACAGCAATTTGATGGCACATAATCATTCAATCAATTTGATCATGCTCTAAAAGGCGAAGAGGCACCCAAATCACTCCAAACAGAATGAAAGACTTGCTTTCAAGCTACAAGTGTAGAACCAACAATATTCTTTTCTCCAGTTTTCTTGTCTACAGTGATATGTTTGTTTTACATAGCTTTCACCCAGGAAAACCCACACTTTCTCAGCCAGAAGAAGGGGTTATCAACTTGGGGTGAGTCAAGATGGCATTTTCAGATGCCTTCTGATGCCTCTGTAGGCATTTCCTAAACATACCTGACCTAGTTACTGAGTTCACCCATTCACTGAGTGTACACAATACATTGAATGAACCAAATAGGCCCACTTTGCAGAAAACAGTCAGATTACCAAGGTTAACATCTGCCAAACTAAGAAATGATGTCTGTGGTCACTGGGCCTGTAATTGGCCTAGTTAAAGAGGTTGTGTGAACTCAGCCATGAAGTCTTGGGTCTAAGATTTCTGGGAGCTGAGCAATATCTCTTCCAAAAGGGGGCAGGTCATAGCTCTGAATGTGTTTTCATGAGATCAGGTGGCACAAGATGGTTGTTGATAGGCAAAGATAATTTACTGGTGGATTTGCAGAACGTACAGCATTTATCCATATCACTTAGAGAAACAGGCACAGGCTAACAGCCACCTCAAAGTACTTCATTTCTTTCCTTTAGTGGGCAGAAAAATACAATCACAGTATGATAAATGTCATCTACAGTTGGAAGATGCATTTTAGTCCAGCACTCAGCAATGTGCAGGAAAACCATCAGGCAAATATTGATATGCTCTGATTCACTCTTGTTACAATTTTATTCTGCAAGTTACTCTGGCTCCCAGTACGCTTCTGGATGCAACTCAAGTGCTAGTATTTACTTACAAAGCCCTTCATAGCTTAATGTGTTCAAAAACCACTCAGAATTCAGCTCTCAATTTCCTTCTGACAAGCTTTTCTGGACTAGAAAAAAAAAACCATTTCTGGATTTCCCTCTCCATCTGCTCCATGTATTTCATTTTTGTAGGCCCTGACTGGGAACTGCATCATCTTCTTTGTCAACAAGATGGACCAAACTCTCCACACCCTTATGCATCATTTTCTTTCTATACTGGCACTTTTGGACCTGGGTTTATTCTTTGCCTCTTTGCCCACCATCCTGAGTCCTGTGGTTCAACCACTGTGTAATCCATTTTGATGCCTGCTTGATCCAGTTATTTCTTCATCCATGCCTTTGCCATTGATAAATCTGGTATTTTACTTTCTATGTCCTTTGATTGCTTGGTAGTTGTCCATAATGTTTTGAGATACACAAATGTTTTGACCAATAAAATCATTATCAAGTTTGGGATGGGAACAGATTTATCATTGGTCTATCCTATCATATTAGGATCCATCTTATTAAAGTAGTTAGAATATGGAAGAATAAATGTCCTTTCCTATCCTGGGTTTGTATTCAGATCTCCTAAAGGCAGTTCACTTAGATAGGATGATTCTTAACTGAAAAAACTGTAGTACTGTATATGAGCTTTACGTCCCATATGAAATGTTCTTTGTTTACCTATGAGGAGTTGCAATTCAAGGTGTATACTTAGCAATTGGGAAAGAGTCTAACCAAAACAGATGGAACTCTTCCTTGCTATGATTTGGAAGCTCTAATTCTGCTGATATAACTTAGAATTGCATTCCCTTTCTTTCATGTATCTTACCCTGTGGAACCTTATAGAGGTCAAAATTGACTTCTATTCCAAAACAGTTGTCACTAGTACCATTAGCATACTAGCTATTATGGTTCCCTGCAATCATCTCTTCTCCAGTACCTCTTCCTGACTCTCCACTTGGAGTTACTACTGATGAGCACTCTCTGAGCATCATTTGGAGCCAATTTTGGAAAGAAAGAGAAGAAGATCGCCAATAGCAAAGTGGCTAGACTCAGGAACTGATGATCATGGCAAAAATCTATCTATGTGGTCAATAAGAGTAAATATAAACTTGATGTCATATAATCAATCAAGATTCCATCTAATTATTATATTATCCAGCTCATACCTTTGTAATCAATATATGCTGAATTTGCTGAGGATCAAGAAATGTCTAGAGCATTCCCAGAATCTACTAGGATGTTCTCTGGCAAAACCAGAGATCAGTCTGATCTCACAATACTGTTCATGATTAGTCCCTGCTGACTCTTGGTAAGCACCATTTTGTCCTCAAGGGACCTCCTGATTTGCTTAAGAAACGTCCATGCCTTGATGCCAGACTGACTGGCTATGGCTGGCTGGATCTTCCTTTTCTTCTTTCTGAACATAAACACCTACCCTCTTCCAGACATTAGGCATGTCATCAGTTCTGAGATTCCTCACATATTTAAAGCTTTGGCCAGATTGAATCAGCCAGAAAATTCCTGCAGTATCTTCCTTGAACAGCTAGTGTGAAAGTCACACCATTCAGACATAAGAAGCCCATAAACATGGGTAGAGCAGCCTGCTCAACCCAGCTGGAAAACAACTCCTGTGGCTACCAGAATTGGGTGATGGAACAAACTGACTGCTCTCATCAAGGAGTTTGAACTCACAAAGCCATATTAATGTATGGCTTTGCAAAGGCCAAAACTGTTCTGCCCCAACAAAAGCTAGAATTTCAATTTCTTTGGTTGCCCACCATAAAGATCTGCTAGGATTTCCAATGGCATCAGGTCCATCCACAAAAGTAAAGTGAAAGTAATTATGCAGTTTGTTCCTTTTAGGTGATGCCATTTCATTTGCCTTCTTCAAACCTTCTTCTCCCCTACGAATGAGCAACTTCACTCTTTCCCAATCTGCTGCTTCCCAGAATGTTGGTCTGTTGCCATGGCTTGGGGGGGGGGGCTCATGGAAGCCATCCTGTTGAGGGAGGCTGTGCCATCAGGCAAGTTTCCTAGATCCAGAAAGAGCACTTCCATATTTTGAGTGGAGGCGGGACCAGCTGAGGTACAGTGGTATACAGTAGAAGAAGATTCAGAGTGACCTCAAGAAGCCACACACATACAGACCTTTTATAAAATTTAAAGAAATTGTGTAGTTGCACCTAGAGGAAGAAGATGAATTCAAAGAAACAGAAGGGGAAGAAAGGAAGGAAGGAAGGAAGGAAGGAAGGAAGGAAGGAAGGAAGGAAGGAAGGAAGGAAGGAAGGAAGGAAGGAAGGAATACCCTGCCATAGGTATTTATTCAGGATGGTTCTGTTCCAAACCCCCATAGTGGCTGTGAAGAAGGACTTAAGGCCATGTAACTTCTATTTGGATCCCTGGCATGTTTCTTAAAGCCCACTCTATTCTTCTCATGCTTTCACACAGATGCGAACAATTGCAAGACAGGAGGAAGAACTTTGGGGCTATCCTAGGCTTACCAACAATAAAATGAAAGCTCTGAAAACTTATATAGCTGCCCATCCTTTAACCAATTCTGGGCGCCTCCCAATCAAAAATTAAAACAGCACATATGAAATCATATTAAAACTATAAAATTAAACAGTTTGAAACATTAAAAACAACAAAGACCAGTCAAAGTTCTATTGTACAATTAGCTAGTCTTCTCTCAGTACTTGGAGGAAGAGCCAGATCTTTGATGCTTTAGGGAAGCATGTCATGTCATGTCATGTCATGTCATGCCATGCCATGTAGGGCTTTAAAGGTGATGACCAACACCTTGAATTGCACCCAGAAAGAAACTGGAAGCCAGAGCAGCTCTTGCAACTGAGGTGTTACATGGGCAAACCCAGGAGCCTATTACTGTGTACACTGCTACATTCTGGACCAGTTGAAGTCTGTGGTGCACAGAAATATAACAGTCCAGGCATGCACATCTCTGTGTGGGATTCCTTTTTCCTTGTGAGGAACTTTACACCCACTTGACCACAGTTTCATTCCTCTGTTTTCAGCCCTTTATCTAGTCTAGTAAGATCATTTTGAAGTTTACTTCTGTCCTTTCCTACCCAACTTTGCATGCTTTCATCCATAGCCCTACAAAATCCAGTCTATTTTTCTTAGAAAGGTGGAGTTCACTACCTGAGGCACTAAAACATTTTGGAACACAAAGTCCATCAGCTGCAACCAGCTCACAAACAATCGAAGAACTTTATCCAGAAAGATGCAATGTGCAGGAAAACCAGTTAAACCATTCTTGAGAGATGGCTTACTTGTCTTTTTCTTCAAAACCTTTGGAGATGGAGAATCCACAACCTCCAGACTTTCCCTGTTCCTCTATTGTACAGTACAGATCTTTCCATCAGGAAGTTGTATACCTGTTTAAACTAACTGGGAAAGATTGAGGGCAATAGAAGGGGACAAGAGAGAATGAGGTGGCTGGATGGAGTCACTGAAGCAGTAGGTGTGAGCTTAAATGGACTCCAGAAGATGGTAGAGGACAGGAAGGCCTGGAGGAACATTGTCCATGGGGTTGCGATGGGTCGGACACGACTTCGCAACTAACAACAACAAAACTAACTCTGCAGTCTCTATTTATATCCATTTGCTTCTCATCCTTGTTTCTATGCTAATGCGACTTCATTTATTTTAAAATACTTATAGAGATGGCTCCACATGACCTGAAGAAGGAGATCAAGAGCCCAGAAAGTTTATTGGTATTTCAGCCATGCAGCTACTGTATTACTGAATGAATGTGATTAGGTATATTGGTTTAAAGGACTTATAAAGGTGCAATGCATGACTCCATTTAGCAGGAAATATGTACACAACACCTACCTCATAAATGGTTAAATTCACAAAACAAAGAGAATAGGCTTTTGGAAGAAGAAGAATCAATTGACTGTCTACCAGTTCATTGTACCTGTAAAATGTTAAGCTCATTTAGAATGGCTGAAGGCTGCAGAATAGATGATGAGATATTGGAGAAGGAGGAGTTTCAGAAAGAGCAGTTTGCTTTGGGATGGGGGGGGAGAGAGAGACAAGACTGCTGGTTGCAATCAGTGAGAACAGAGAAATGAACTACTGAAGTTGGATGTGGAGATCCATTCTGAAGTTGTGGGACAGTCTGTGGAGATCCATTCTGAAGTTGTGGGAGAGTCTGTGGAGATCCATTCTGAAGTGGTGGAAGAATCAGTCAGTTCATATTTTCCATGATGGATAAAGGCTTCTATATCAGAATTAGGGAGTCAGTTCTTTAAGTCAGGGGTCAGTTCAGCCTTGAAGCACACTAGGTAGGGGCAGAATAACAGGGAAAGTCTCATGAGAAACTTCCTGCTGTCCAGCTTCGGTCTCTGAATGCTCTCTATAGACTCACATGCAGCTGATTCCAGGAGACTCCCAAAGGGACACTGTATCTTGAAGGTCTATAAACCTTCTTCTGTTTTTCAGACAAATGCAGAGACTGGCTGGCAGGGATTTGGCTGATCATGAACAGGTGTTTTCTGAGCTCCAACACATCAGTTTGCTCCTTTAAGGAGGGGCACCTGCCACTAAGGTGCTGCAAAAGAGGAAACTCTGTTTGATGTGTGACAGTTGCGTTCTGAAGTGTGAACAGATCCAACCAAAATTTGATTCCTGCAGTTTTGTTCTCCAAAGGCTGCATTACAAATTGGGTCTGGATACATTTATTTATTTATTTATTTATTTATTTATTTATTTATTTATTTATTTATTTATTTATTTATTTATTTATTTATTTATTTATTTATTTATTTATTTATTTATTTATTTATTTATATACCGCCCTATCTCCCTTACGGGACTCAGGGCGGTGAAGGAGCATGATACATGAAGGAGCAGCACCTGAAAATGCAAAGGTATTACACGAGAATGTTTTTAGGGATGCAGCATTCTGTCTTGATCCTTCAGCTTGTCTGCTGCGTAAACTTTGAGCATTCCAGCCAATTCTAGGGAAGTATGGATCTCTCCTGAGATGATTTCTCCCCTAATATTTGGGTCTAGTGAGTCACATTTGGGGTGCTTCTGGGAATACATCATTTTAACCATTGCTTCATTTGTGTCTCTTATGCTCTAGTATTTTTTGGTTGGCTTTCCATAATTTTGCTAATTTGTATTTGTTGGTGCGTGTCCCCAGGAACAGATAGTAAAGTATATACAAAACTATTATATACTATGTTTGCTTTCATTATAAATCCTAAAGCAAGATGGGTAAAAATGTGCATTAAATGGGACAGACGTTCAAGACTGCATCAGACAAATAAATGAATGAACAAATAAAGGCATTCTACAAATTGTGAAGGTTGTTAGAACAGCCTATATAGTCCACTTCCCCTTAAGCTTTCAGAGCACAGATGTTAGATTATGTCATGTCTGCATGTACAGGACTTTACATGACTTTCATCAATCCCCTTGGAGAACAGGGTGGAAACCTCTTTATTTTTGCACAGTGTATATATCATGTCTGTTATTTTTAGTTATATGACTACCACAGTTACCAGTTTAAACCTTACTAAAAATCATCAGACTTGGAAATCTCTCTGAACCTCTGTACTACAAAAGTCTTGGAAGTTGAACTGAAAAGACCCTTCTGATGTCTAAATGTCTTTTCCTGCAAGCTATTCAGTACCAGGATCTAGACAGCTCCTATAGCTAATACTCTATTTATTGTTATTCAAGTGCAAAGGTCTGCGAGTTTAGTTCTCAGAAGAAGGTTTGAAAGCCATAGAATAATGTCAGGCTGATGGTTCCCAATAAAGATGAGACTGGTGACGTGGAGTGTCATGATGGACAGTGGAAGTGCCACATTAATATGTTTGTGAAAGTGAGAAAAATTGTTTAGAAAAGATATTATTCTATTAAAGTGTTTGGAATGAAGCCTAACACTGGTTTGATGGATTCCTTCTTCTGTTTCTTTTCTCAGACTTTTTAAATTCTAGGTTGAGTCATGTACCCTTTCTCTTCCCATGATGACCATGGTGAATGAAACTGACTACAGCCTCATGCAGTTTTTCTTGAAAGGGATCCCAGGACTGGAACACGCTCATCTCTGGATCTCCTTTCCATTTTTCTCTATGTATCTCATTGGCATGTTGGGGAACTGTGGACTTCTCTACATCATCTGGGCTGAGGAAGCCCTTCACAGGCCTATGTACTACTTCCTCTGCATGTTGTCTGTCACAGACATAGTTATGGGAACCTCTACGATGCCAAAAGCATTCTGCATTTTTTGGCTAAACCTGGAGAAGATCAGCTTCAGAGCCTGCCTGGTCCAGATGTACATTGTTCACACTTTCACAGGGATGGAATCTGGAGTCCTCATGCTCATGGCTTTGGACCGCTTTGTAGCTATCTGTTATCCATTGAGATATGCTACTATCTTGACCCACCCAGTCATTCTTAAGGTAGGGATCCTCACCTTCCTCAGAGGAGCAGTTCTCATCCTCCCCTTTCCTTTTCTAGTCAGGAAAATGATATATTGCAACAGCAGAGCTATTGCTCACACCTATTGTGACCACATGGCAGTGGTAAAGCTGGCTTGCAGCAATATCCAAGTTGATGCTATATATGGCCTGACAGTTGCCATGTTGATTGGGGGCTTTGATATCTCCTGCATTACAATGTCTTACTTCATGATCCTGAAGGCAGTTGTGGGCCTTTCCTCTCCAGAACAAAGGAGCAAGGCATTTGGCACCTGCACTGCTCATCTCTGTGCCATTGCTATCTCTTATACACCAGCCTTCTTCACCTTCTTTGCACACCGTTTTGGTGGCCATCACATCACTCCTCATGTTCACATCATTATGGCCAATCTTTACCTTCTTCTGCCTCCCATGATGAACCCCATTGTTTATGGAGTGAAGACAAAAGAGATCCGTGAAAGTGTCCTGAGGTTGTTCCATAAGGAAAAAAGTATGACAACACCTAACCATTGATGGGGAGAATTCATCCATAAGTATGCCATCAGCAGAATAAATAATCCTGTATTATGGGTAAGACTTGCACTTAAATTAACATCTACTTCTGGTGAAGTAGCAAAGCTTACATCACTAGCTGGCAAGGAGGAAAATCCAACCATCAATCAAGATGATCACAAGACCCAACCCTTCGATCTTTTCATATAATTTTAGAAATATCCAGAGAAGATTGTACTAATTTCCAATGATTTTGTAAACTTTCTAGAAGAATTGGCATAAATAACCATGCTTAAGAAGGACCTTTGCTGAGAAGTTTGGGGCATGATTATTCTCGCTGAAAGTAAAGTTTTCTATTCTCAGGTTAGGTCTTTGTCTTATATTATATTCCAAAAACATGCAAGGAGAAGGTAGGAAATGGGTCCCATAGGATGAGACCTGAACCAGAGTGGAAACTCAAAGGGATCTCTTGGGATGTTTTTCTCTCAGAAATCTCCCTTACCAAATATCCATGTACAGAAAAAAGAGTTAAGAATTTTCTCTTCTGCTCTGGCTTATTTACTGGATGATGTTTAAGCTTAGTAAGCCACTCTAGCATGTTTTCAGGCAGTTGGAGAGTAAGTCATGCAGGTCATTAAGTGGGTCACCATTTGACTGACCCAAGTTTACATTTTAAGCAAATGTGGCAGCTGTAAAAGAAAACACTACAACTGAAACTATTGCTCTCAATGGGCATTTTTGCCAGAAACCAGAAGTGAATAGTGGTTTCCAGCAAAAAATAAAAAATAAAAACCTCAATTGTGCTCACATGACCATGGATTTGTCAACAGGAAATGTTTTATCACATTTTTTTACTATATCATAGGGATTTTTGACATATTTTAAGTTAACCTATTTGATTCAGATATTATTGCCCTATGATGTACCCTTTTGGGTGACACACAAACAGGAGACTTTTAGTAGAATATTGTAATGGTATATACAGTTGGTCCTCGATTTATAACCACAATTGAGCCAAAAATTTCTGTTGTTAAGCAAGACATTTATTAAGTGCCCCATTTTATGACCTTTCTTGTCACAGTTGTTAAATGAATCACTGCAGTTGATAAGTTAATAACCTGGTTGTTAAGTGAATCTGGCTTCCCCATTGACTTTGCTTGTGAAAGGGTCGCAAAAGGTGATCGTATGACTTTGGGACACAGCAACGGTCATAAATATGAGCCAGTTGCCAAGCATCTGAATTTTGATCACATGATCATGGAGATGCTGCAAAGGTTGTAACTGTGAAAAACGGTCATAAATCACTTTGAATGGTCACTAAATGAACTGTTGTAAGTTAAGGACTACCTATAGTAAGAAGGTAGATTCCCAGGAGGGAGGGAGTATATTCCAGAGGAGTAAGAGGCAGCTCATTTCAGATACTTTGTGTGAGAAAAAAGAGGGTGAAGGAAGCTCCTTCCTAATAATTCCTAGACATAGGATTCATGTGGGGAGTAGTTTAGTTTGACCAAAGTATGTCAATAAGTATGGTACAATAAAGAAATCTACCTGAAAGAGTCATTATATGTCTTCCTTGGTTTGGGGGGAGGGGCTGGTGTATATATAGACAAGTTTGAAAGTTGCAAACTTATAATAACTTATAGTAAGACTTTGCAATAAATAGGTAAGAAAATGGAACCAAGCAAAGAATTAGCATTAGGTTTAGATATAAGGAATAATAATTAATTGTTCTACAATTAAACAGGGGTGGTTTGGGGGGGACAACAAATTCAGTCTTTGTGTCTGTGACCTGTATCAGATTAACAAAAACCCTAATAATCATTATGTGTCATGACAAAAAGAGCTGCAGCCAAAGGAAAACATCTCTATGGCATTCAGAAAGATCAAACCCCAGAATTTTCTTGAGTGCATTATAACCTTGAATCCTGAAAGGTCCTTCTCAGGCAATTCTGTGGCATGACCAGGTGACTCTGTATTAGATCTCTTTGGTCTTCATTTCATATATGAGATGGCTCAATACTGGAGGTACCAGAAGATATAGGTTGGCCAGGACAGTATGGCTATTGGAGTTATGGATCTCCTGAAAGCTGTGCTCCATTGACAATCCAATGAAGGGATAGAGGAAAGAAAGACAGCAGAGAGGTGGGAGAAAAAAGCTCCCAGGGCCTTCAATTGTGTCCCTTGGGATAGATTGAGGGCAGTTTTCAGGATGATGTAACAAAGAGAAATGAGGAGTGAATGGCAAAAGTAATCAAAGGTTTTGGTTGCTTTTCCAGGTGCAAAATCAGTGAAATAATACTAAGGAACTTAACCTCTGAGAAAGAAATTTTGTGAACAAATGAATGACTGTGGGAAACATTTAGGAATTCATTTGACAGGATGAAATGCAGACAGATTTCAAAACTATTAAAATAAACTATGGAAAGAAATAAAACAAGACCTTGAAAGAAGGAAAAGCTTAAACTTTTTCTGGCCATGACTTATTGTGTTAATAAAAATGAACATATTATCAAGATAAAATTCTTGTTTCAAATGGTATGAATTCAAATCCGAGATTAAAACATTGCTGTATTGATTAAAAACATGATGGGACCCCTCATTTCAACACTGAACTACAAATATTCTCCTTTATTGATAAAAAACAATTAATAGATTTATGTAAAATGCCAAATTTTCAAGAATAAAATTCACAATATTGTAATCAGATTTTCCCAATCTCAGATAATATTATAGAACAAGCTGCCCCTCATGGATAACAGAATGGATAAAATTCCCTAATTGCAGAAAAAATCAACAACATAATAACTTCAAGAGTAAAAGGAGAATGATTAGCCAATGAGTTTTACAGACATGTATAGTATAAAGAAACAAAAGAAGACAAGATACATTAAAAGAAGATAAGGAACATATTATAAAAGAAAGTCTGTTAAAAATTTGGAATTTTTAGAGTAAGTCCAACAATCTTGCCACTAGCATCATCATCAAATGTTTTCTCTTTCAAAGACGATTACAGCAAGAAAAAATAGATCGCATATGCTGATACCAAAACAGACTAAAAATATACCAGAAATGTGACTTTTGAGAAAAGAATAAATCTAGCATGTTAATGCTTTGCAAATAAGTAGAAAATTAAAAAGGAGGCATCCTGAAAATTTGAAATACTTACACAGAATCAAGATAGTTAGTTAATTAGAATTATTTCTAATTTCTACACATGGTATAGAAAACCCATTTGGGGTTCCACTTGAACGTGAACTTCCTCAGTCTTGTTTGCTCTTCCAGTTTTCTCACTCATCGAGTTTAGGATTCTTCAATTTATAAAAACAAAAAAAGAAAAATGTTAGAAATGCACACTTTTCCAAAGAGAGAGAGAAGGAGGGAGATGATAGAGATAGATAATAGACAGACAGACAGACAGACAGACAGACAGACAGACAGACAGACAGACAGACAGACAGACAGACAGACAGACAGACAGATAGATAGATGAGAAAGAGAGAGAGATTATAGGTGATGATATAGATGGTGCAACTCTACATGATAGATAAAGATATCATGATGGACCCCAAAGTAGGGAGCTTCAAAAGGGCATGAAACAAATTCATGGTGAAGGACTTTCACTGCATTTTTATATTATCTATAGGATTACAATGTACAGGTGAAGCTGCTGCCCTTTCCTTGTGATCCTCACTTTACAGACATCTGGTTGACCATGGCAGAACAAAAGACTGTTAGCTGAATCTTTGACTTATTCCAGCCCAGCTATTTCTCCACTCCTGGTTTGTCACCTTATTTGACCTACGAGTTCATGTTTACACAGATCATTTCCATGCCCAAGCCATTACCTGGAGTGACAATCCCTTTTCTTATGTCTAGTGAGGCAGAACTCCATGTATCTTCCAAAATGATGGTATCTCAGCAGAAACTTCAATATGATCTTTCTCATTGATAGACAACCAGGTACACCATAATTCCTACAAATTCCAGCCAGCATTGCCAATTTTAAAGGTTTATGGGAAAGGTAGCCTAAGACACCTGCCTACCTCTGAAGTTGATGTCCAAGCATGGAGAAATAACAGATTGTTGTACAGTAGAATTGGCATTTCAAGTACAGAACTATCATTAATGTTGCCTCCACAAACTCAGTTCAGAGATGCTATCTGAGAGGATGACATGATTGATGGCATTTCACTCATAAATGATTTGAGGGGGTGGTCCATCAGTAGGAAAGAAATGCTGTTTATGAGAGATAAGTTTCCATATTCTTTTCTAGGAATGGAAGCACTTTATTTCAGTAAAATCCAAGTCCTTTTTTCTTATTCTCAGAATTTTCTACCATCAAATCCTGGTTTGCTTCCTTAGAAAAATGTTGTATATTTTCTGCCGAATCTGTTGGGTCTTCATGCTATACACAATAGGATTAAGGAGAGGTGGGACCACAATGTAGATATTGGCCATCAGCATGTGCACAAGGGGGGAAGGTGTTTCTCATATTGCTTAAGCAAACAGATACTGATGATTGGGACATAAAAAATGAGGATGGCACAAATGTGAGAAATACAAGTGTTGAGTGTTTTGAGACGTTCTTGATGGGATGCAATGCCTAAAACAGTTTTCAAAATCATGATGTAGGACACAAGAATGATGGCAACATCAAACCCCAATGTAAAAATCATCACAATCAAACCATACAAGATATTGACCTTTATGTCTACACAGGCTAGCTTCATTACAGCAGGATGAAAACAGTAGGAGTAAGAAAGTATACTGGATCTGCATAAGCGTAGACATTTAATCAGAAAAGGAGCTGGGAAACAGACACAGATACATCTAACTGCAGCAGCTATTCCTATTTTTGCAACAACAGTGTTTGGGAAGAGTGTTCTGTATCTCAGTGGCTCACGGATTGCAACCACACGGTCAAAAGCCATTGCCACCAGAATGCCAGACTCCAACCATTGAAAGGCATGGATGAAGAACATTTGGGTGAGACAAGCACTAAACGTGATTTCCTTGGAGTT